CTTTCACAAATTTAATGAAGAGGTGACGGATTTACGGGTGGAGGTGAATTATAATAAAAACCGAAATATATACAATATACATTTATGACATGACAAAAGCTGACTGCTACGACACTCCCCGATAACTATTTATGGATTTCGATAACTTCTTATCGATTTCGATAACATTTTACCAATGTCTATGACATATGTGGAAATATTGATCATATTTGCTTAAAACTGGAGTTAAGGCAGCTGCATGACAAAAGCTGACTGCTACGACACTCCCCGATAAATATTTATCGATTTCGATAACTTTTTCGGATTCGATAACCTTTTATCGATTTCGATAACTTTTTATCGATTTCGATAACTTTTTATCGATTTCGATAACTTTTTATCGCTATCTATGACATATGTGGAAATATTGATCATATTTGCCACATATGCCAGAAACTAAATGCGTTGAGACTGCATGACAGAAGCTGAATGATATGACACTCGATGGGTGGTATATTTATTAAACATATGGTATATTTATGACATATGTGGAAATATTGATCATATTTGCTTAAAACTGGAGTTAAGGCAGCTGCATGACAAAAGCTGACTGCTACGACACTCCCCGATAACTATTTATCGATTTCGATAACTATTTATCGATTTCGATAACTATTTGTCGATTTCGATAAATAGTTACCGATATCTATGACATATGTGGAAATATTGATCATATTTGCTTCAAGCTGGAGTTAAGGCAGCTGCATGACAAAAGCTGACTGCTACAACATGAATATGAATCGATTTCGATGAATATTTATCGATTTCGATAACTTTTTATCGATAACTTTTATCGGTTTCGATAACTTGTTATCGGTTTCGATAACTTTTTATCGCTATCTATGACATATGTGGAAATATTGATCATATTTGCCATGCAAGTTGAGTTAAGGCAGCTGCATGACAAAAGCTGAATGCTACGACACTCGATGGAAGGTGCATTAACAAAACTCGTGGAAATATTGATTCACAGAAATATAAATGCTCTATGAAGAGCATTTTAGGTCTTCTAGTGAATTTATGCCAGAAACTAAGTGCGTTGAGACTGCATGACAGAAGCTGAATGATATGACACTCGATGGGTGGTATATTTATTAAACTTTCAGATCTTGATTTTAACATTGAAATACACAAGTGTCTAGTATTTGAAATACGCCTTTCACAAATTTAATGAAGAGGTGACGGATTTACGGGTGGAGGTGAATTATAATAAAAACCGAAATATATACAATATACATTTATGACATGACAAAAGCTGACTGCTACGACACTCCCCGATAACTATTTATGGATTTCGATAACTTCTTATCGATTTCGATAACATTTTACCAATGTCTATGACATATGTGGAAATATTGATCATATTTGCTTAAAACTGGAGTTAAGGCAGCTGCATGACAAAAGCTGACTGCTACGACACTCCCCGATAAATATTTATCGATTTCGATAACTTTTTCGGATTCGATAACCTTTTATCGATTTCGATAACTTTTTATCGATTTCGATAACTTTTTATCGCTATCTATGACATATGTGGAAATATTGATCATATTTGCCACATATGCCAGAAACTAAATGCGTTGAGACTGCATGACAGAAGCTGAATGATATGACACTCGATGGGTGGTATATTTATTAAACTTTCAGATCTTGATTTTAACATTGAAATACACAAGTGTCTAGTATTTGAAATACGCCTTTCACAAATTTAATGGAGAGGTGACGGAGGTGAATTATAATAAAAACCGAAATATATACGACACTCCGATAACTATTTATGGATTTCGATAACTTCTTATCGATTTCGATAACTATTTACCGATATCTATGACATATGTGGAAATATTGATCATATTTGCTTAAAACTGGAGTTAGGCAGCTGCATGACAAAAGCTGACTGCTACGACACTCCCCGATGAATATTTATCGATTTCGATAACTTGTTATCGATTTCGATAACTTTTATCGATTTCGATAACTTTTTATCGATTTCGATAACTTTTATCGGTTTCGATAACTTTTTATCGCTATCTATGACATATGTGGATCATATTTGCCATGCAAGTTTCATAAACTTGAGTTAAGGCAGCTGCATGACAAAAGCTGAATGCTACGACACTCGATGGAAGGTGCATTAACAAAACTCGTGGAAATATTGCTCGTACATCAATGTCAAAGACTGAATACTATAAAGCTTGTGGAAAAATGTATCCTCATTGCTCACGAAATAAAAAACATAATATGATTCACAGAAATATAAATGCTCTATTAAGAGCATTTTAGGTCTTCTAGTGAATTTATGCCAGAAACTAAATGCCAGAAACTAAATGCGTTGAGACTGCATGACAGAAGCTGAATGATATGACACTCGATGGGTGGTATATTTATTAAACTTTAATGGAGTGGTGACGGATTTACGGGTGAGGGTGAATTATAATAAAAACCGAAATATATACAATATACATTTATGACATGACAAAAGCTGACTGCTACGACACTCCCCGATGAATATTTATCGATTTCGATAACTTTTTTTTTATCGATTTCGATATTTTTTTCGATTTCGATAACTTTTTTATCGATTTCGATAACTTGTTGTCGATTTCGATAACTTTATCGGTTTCGATAACTTTTCACCGATATCTATTACATATGTGGAAATATTGATCATATTTGCTTAAAACTGGAGTTAGGCAGCTGCATGACAAAAGCTGACTGCTACGACACTCCCCGATGAATATTTATCGATTTCGATAACTTGTTATCGATTTCGATAACTTTTTATCGATTTCGATAACTTGCTATCGATTTCGATAACTTTTTATCGATTTCGATAACTTTTTATCTATTTCGATAACTTTTTATCGATTTCGATAACTTTTTATCGATTTCGATAACTTTTTATCGATTTCGATAACTTTTTATCGATTTCGATAACTTTTTATCGATTTCGATAACTTTTTATCGATTTCGATAACTTTTTATCGATTTCGATAACTTTTTATCGATTTCGATAACTTTATCGGTTTCGATAGCTTTTCACCGATATCTATGACATATGTGGAAATATTGATCATATATGCTTAAAACTGGAGTTAAGGCAGCTGCATGACAAAAGCTGAATGCTACGACACTCCCCGATGAATATTTATCGATTTCGATAACTTTTTATCGATTTCGATCACTTTTTTATAGAATTCGATAACTTTTTATCGCTATCTATGACATATGTGGAAATATTGATCTTCTGAGATCGACGTGTTAAAACGTATGGACAGATGGACGGACGGACGGACGGACGGACAAACAGAGTGCTAAATCGACTCAGCTCGTCGCCCTGATCAGGAATGTATATACTTTATGGGGTCTGCCACGCCTCCTTCGGTCTGTTCCATACATTGCAATAAAAGCATTATACGCTGATTTCCCATTTTCAATGGGTTCAGCGTATAATAAAAATATACCTAATGCCCTAACATACCAAATTTATGTTAGCTATTATTATTATTGATATTTTTTATCTTAGTCAAATATAAAATAAATTTTATTATTATATGTACATACATACATATTTATACATCAAATCCAATGAACTTATCTCTCATGTCATGCTACTACTATTTTAAGCTTGAATTCGTAGAACATTTGTATGCTTAACAAATGTCGCGACATCTTAATCTTTTAACCTGAGTGAACTCACTTTTCTGGTTTCTGTGCTCATCTACATAATTGTTTAACAATATTCAAGATCAAGTTCAAGGTCAAAGCAGCTGTGGAATTAACTGAATGATTTCGAAATTAACTTTAATGAGACTTAAACGTTTCCAAAATGAAATAAAAATAATGTCTAAAATCTCAGCAGAAATAGTTTTAATTAAATTGAACGTGAATTCGCGTATGTTAATTAAGCTTTAATCTTTCTATTTTTTCTACAATAGTATATATGCATATGGCCAGTCATTGTGAATAGCTACGGCGCAATTGTGCAGTCAGTGTGAATTAATTTTTTGCATATTTCCGAATTCAAATTTGTTGCCAGCGAATTACAATTTTGTAACTGTCTAATATGGGACTTAATGCAGATTATTTTAGGTGGATTTTATGATTATTTTTTGCTGTTTATAAATACAATTTTCTTTTTATTATGCAGATCTGAAAAGATTATTTTTAGTTTTACTTGATTTTCGTTGGTGTATTTCGATCGAAGCAACTGGATTTGCGCTTTGTTAGTTTGGGAATTGGCGGTACCAAGCGGAGACTTGGCACCAGCGACTTGGCTTGGCGAAATGTCTGGGAATGTACCGGCAGCAGGTGAAAAACAAAAGGTGCTGTTAATGCTGCCTTTACGACTCGACAGAAAGCAATGAAAGATGCTGGCCCATGTGTGTGTGTGTGTGTGGTTGTGTTTATATATGGTTACATATGTACAAGTGCCCCAAGCACATGCATAGACATGCTTGTCGGCTTAATAACTAATCACAGATGTACACGAAACAACAAAAAACCAAAAGCCAAAAAACAGAAATAAAAATAAGAAACAGAGAAAATAAAACACCGCAAAGCTCGTAAATAACAGCCACACAATTTGTTGACGCCATTTTGATTTTGTTTAAAATTAGCTAATATTAAAAAAAGAAAAAAAAGGTTTTTGAAAAAAAAAAAGGTAAACAAGCAGCAGAAAAAACGAAGTAAACATCTTTTTTGCTTGTCATGCGTGACATTCCCAATACTTTACAGCTATAGTCGAATTCGCAATGCCCTATCTAACGAATCGATTGCCATGGAACAGCTATTCTAAAGCCCGCTCATATTTCAATATTTGTACATTGAATGCATCTGATTTCCCACTGGAAGCGACAATTATATATCAAGTTAGTCACGGGAGAGTGGAATCCAATTAGCAATAGTGTATTAGAATAATTTTGTTTTCCAGGGGTATTTTATAATATTTTATGTAGGTAAGGCAACACAACGGGTATTCACATTATACAATGTAGAAGATTGCCATGCTCTTTTTATTTATTTTACTAACCATAACTCTTAAATTGCAGTTGCCTTACAAAAAAAGTACCGAAGATCGAGATTTATGGATTATATAATTTATAGATCTTGCTGACATCAGTAAACTGCATTACTTGGGTCTAAAGCCAAAAGAGATATGGATGAAGTCGTCAACGCTCATTCGCTTTAATAGGTATTACTTCATCTAAAACGTTTATATTTAATTTGTCATGCTCTAAGAGAGTATAAATATCTATTATATATATGTACATATATGCATCATTTTATCAATCGGTAGAACAGCTACTTTCATCAGCTACTTTCACAGTTTTTGTGTTTAAGAGTTCTAGTTTATCCGGATTTGACATGCCCACAAGGGGCGTAACTATTGTATATAGATATATGCATAACCTAATACTCTACGAAAGCTATATTTTTTCTTCAGTATATCGAGTATCATAAATTATTTAACAGCTCAAACGAATTCAGCTACTGTACCTTGTTCTGGATCACCTTAGAGCTTAGACCTGGTATTTATTTGTTTGTCTTTTTTGTGATTCATCAGTATAAAGAATAATTCCAGCAAATTGATGATGCTCATATAAACCGCATCCCACATTTACCTCGCGTGGAACAACACTCAGGTGCTATCAGCTATTTAGCACCACACAAATGTATATATCTAACATATATTATATATATATTATCCAGCTCACATCGAGGCATGCAACTACAACTACAAGTGTCTGATTTGAACTGGATTGCAGGGAGATCACATTATTATATTTCATTCATGTGTGGAGATCCGCAAATTAAAGATAGTTTTGTTTTGAAGCATGGAGAAATTTAAATTGTAATTTATCATTATTATTCTATATAAAGGCCAATTGGATATGGTTTTAATTTTAAGTTCATTTTTTTCTATTCATCCTACCTACATCTATCTTAGCAATTAACACCATCCGTTCTGGCAAGCCCATTTAACAGTTTTCTAGTTCAAGCTCTGTTGGTTGTTTGGTTTCAGTTGGCTTCGAAGCTTCGTGTTGAATGTCAATGACTTGGTTGGTTGGTTGGAGTTGTTGTTGTTGTTGATGTTGATGTAGCTGTAGGCAGTGGCATTTGCAGTGTTCATTTGTCAACAACAACAGCAGCAACAATGTACAACAACTAGCAACAAACTCTGTCGCCCTCAATGCCCAAGCAGCGTTGCGCTTTTTAACGCTTTTTTTCCTATTATTATTATTTGCTAAGCAGATCATAAATGCTTAGCCAAAACAACAACAGAAAACATATTTGGCTTGAAATGGCATTTAGAAATGTTAATTGCCAGATTTATAACTATGGGAGTGTTTTGTGAATCCGAAAACGAAAAGAACACAGCAGCTTCATTAAGAAAACTTCAGTGGAAAAGTTCAAATTTCCAGCTGAGTTAATCATTAAGAATCGAGCTATCAAAGTTGCCAGCAAAATGTATTTTAGGAAGAGAAGATGCATCGGAGTATAAAAGTAGAACGTCAGTATATTTTAATATATATTCCGTTTCGGGTTCAGCACATCAAAGCTCTATGGAAAAGTTTAAATCGCTTAATAAATTATTATTAATACATTTCATTAACAAGTGAATATATATTCAGATAAATTCAAGGTAGAAAACCAATGAATAGACGCATTGTCTCGCTTGCTTACGCATGTTTATCAAAAACTGCAGGACTTGCGCGTGAAGGAAAACAAAGCACAAGGTTTTTCACACTAAGGTGGCAAAAGTTTCAAATTTTTTGACAACAGCCAACAACAATAAAATGAATAATAAATAAATAAATAGAATCAAATGTCAAAGCCCGCTACTGTTATATATATTTCTAAATGTACTTATGAATATTTAACTGAATTTGTTTTTCGACATCTTGGTAGACAATGGCTGGATTTTTCTTATTGCAAGCTGAGTTACCAAATGCGATTTGCGAAAGCGATAGCAAGTCACATTTTGAAGTTTTTGGGAAAACGAGAAAAGATTTTCAAAGAAGCTCCACTTAAAGTACATTTCATGACAAAGACAAAGCGAGGAAGGTTATTGCTGGAGCGCCACAAATTAATTTGCACCTTTCGCCTCTGTTGCAGCAGCCGCAGCAGCTGTCGACTCTGCAGCAACAACAACAGCAGCAGCAGCAGCAGCAGAGATAGCGACAAGTCTGTCGGTCTGCAGCAACCGGTGAAAGTTGCCATGCAAATATATACAAGGTAAGAAAAACTGTGGCCAAGCCACCGGCTGATAGAGGCCCGAGGCTTGATTTCGATGCACTCTCTTGGCTGCTGGCGAAAATGCTTGGGCTGCATGGGCCCTTCTTTTTCTTTCCCATATGCTATGTCATAATCGCAGACGTTGAGGCTTTTCCTCAATTGCGAACAGGGAAAAAGCGTTTCGCTTGAGTTGGGTGCCTGGGCCAGTACCGAGCAGGTAAGAGCAGCAGGTGTATTCGTTATTTGTCATTTATTTGCACTTCGCATTTGAGTGCGCTTTGTATTGTAGATAGGAAGCGGAAATAAGTGGCGTTTGATGTAAAGTGTGATGTTTGAGCGTTTTGTTTTTTTGCTCAATTTGCGTTGCTAAATGCATTATGCACTTACTCTATTGGTCTTTAATTTAATTTATCAACGTACCGTTTAGTCAATTTAAAATATATCGCTTATCGTTTGTCATTTATCGATAGTTGCCTACCGCAGTCAATGCTTGTCAAACTTTGACAGCTGTTCATTGCATACTCTTGTGCTGTTTGTGAACAAATCACATTATACTATCCAGTTATTTAGAGAATGCATATTAATGTCAAATAAAAATTTACCTTAACTTTAATTAACCCCGATTGACATAAACAAAGATATTGGCTTGCTGCTCATATTCAGAGTAAAACAATATGCAAGTGATACAGCCGATATAACTATCGCTTTGCAGCCCTGAAAGTATCGGTATCGTCTGCGCAAGTCATGACCCAAAAATGAACATTAGCTCTTTGAAAATGCATAAACACTTTTTTACATGAAGTATTCAAACAAAAGCAAACTTAAAACGTGTGCACGTGGATGCGACGAAGCGTGTGTGCCGTACGTGGAAAACACAGGAACGGGCGTCCACCAAGATTTCAATCAACTAATCAGCAAGTACACACCGCACTGTCAATGAGGATGACCCACACCCACACCCGCACCCCGCAAACGCAAACGCATTGATTACTACACATTTTCATCGTGCAAGCAACGCAACACAACGCGGCGCCGCCATTGAACCTAAAATCAGACAAGTTCTACACGAAAAACGTTTCCACGCAAGCTTATGCAAAAATGTCACTAGTGACGCGCATCGATGGAGGCGGCGACGACGACAGCGCCAGCGGCGGGATCGAAACACAAAAGACGACGCCTTCAATTGCCGAGGTCACTGCAATAACCGATGAATTACAAGATGGTGATAATAGCCTGGAGCCAGGTGAGCTGGTCACGCCACCGCATCAGCCGCCAGGCAACGCTAGTCCGGCACCGAAAAAAATGCTCGCCAAGGACGTTATGAGCAAGACATTGCGCAAGCTGACACAAATCGATACGGACAAATGTGAGGAAAATGAGCGCGCGATTCTCGAGCTGGAGACCATCAGACGCAAGGAGGCGACATCTAAAATGTCAGCTGAAATGCCAACTAAAACTTATCCAGTGGAAAATGGCACCACAGCTCATACAGTGGCTACATCAACGGGTACATCAACAGACGATGCGGACGACAGTGAGGGCCTGTACTCGGACACGGATTCATCGGGGGAGGAACAAACCAATGTGGAGGATGTGCAAAAAGCACGCAAGGAAAAACAAGCTGAGGCAGCTGCAGCGGCAGCACCGCTGCCTCCGCCACCTCGTGCCGGTGCTCATCCTTTTCATGGGATCAATCAGCTGAGGTTTCGTATGCGTCCGCCATGTATTGATTATTCGCGTAGAGGTTTCATGCCCAGGATGTTGCGTGGAGGCATGCGTGCTATGCCACCGATGTTCTTCAACCGACCATCTGCTTTCAATCGAGGTCCTACTCCTAGGGGCGCATCCCCGCCTCAACTGTCATCAGCGTCGCCAATTAATGGACCCCAAGGTCAGACTAGTCTCTCGTCGGGATCATACGGGCCTGTGCTGCCCCCCAGTCAGGCCCAAGGTCAACCACAAGGCAGTAAGCGGACACAGTCCGATATAATGTAAGTATGACAATTGTAGACAGGATATATTTGACACTGTTCACTATGTTGGAGTTGGGAAAAAAATTTCTATTTCCAGCTGGACAACATCGCAGCCGCCCGTGTCATTCGTTTTCAATCTGATTTCGGAATGTAGCAATGCACAGCATAAGAACTGCAAGCAAAAAGAGGTAAATCCGGTCAAGAACAGCGACAAGGAAACCAGCGGAGTAAGTAGCAAAGAGTCGAGCAAGGATCAAAGCAAGCGATCAAGAGAGGCACCCCAGGAACATAAAGATAAGCAAAGAGATCGCTTCAAGGACAGACAGAGAGAACGTTCCAGAGAGTCAAGAAAAGATAGCTCAAAGGAGAGACCCAAAGAACGTTCCAGGGAACTATTCCGTGACACTAAGAGGGAGCGCTCCAAAGAGCGGCACAGCTCACGCTCGAAAGAAAGAAAGGAAAGTTCCAATAGCAAGCAAAGGAAGGGCTCCAAGGAGAGAATGGACTGTTCAAACGGTAAGCAAATGGAACGTTCCAAAAACAAGAGAGAACGCTCCAAGGAGAGGAATTCGGATAAGCAAAGGGAACACCCAAAGGAGAAGAGACGAGAAGACAATTCAACATCACGATCAATTGAGAAGCGCTCGTCAGCTACGAGAGATAAACGTCGAGATCGGACCAGCGATGATCATAGCAAAAAGGCAAATCGTCGCACACGAAGTAGAAGCCATAGTCGAAGGCCAGAGCCAGAGATTAGAGCAAAGACCCCGCCCATGCCGCCACTGCCACAAGCCAATAGCGCAGCTCAAGAGAGTGACCGAGAGGAGTTAACAACGCCACCGTTGCCCATTGCAACAGGGAAAGCCTTTGATATATTTGCCGAGTCACCGCCAAGACTGAAGAAAGCCAGCAGCCCAGCCAATAAAAAACAGCCAGCTGAAAAAACTGCCGAACTAAAAACCGAAGTGCCTGCTGAGCGCAGCACAACGCCGCCGCTGGAAGATCTTCAATTGAAAACCCTATCCAGTTTAGAGCCCCTCAAATCAACACCGCCTCAGCAGCTCAAGATGCACAATGAGATTCACATTCGCATTGGCGCGCTGCTCGAGGACACAGATCTGCACTACGAGGCGCTGCTGGCCACGAGGGAACAGCTGCTGCGTAAGAGCACCGAGCACCGTAACAAAAAGGAAACATCCAAGGAGATGCACATCAAACAGGAGCCCATTGACCAAGAGGAGACTTCAAGAAGTCGCTGCACACCGCCGCGGCACGTCAATCCCTTCAAGCGTGAAACAGTATTAGCTGATACGTCTGGTCGTCTCTCTCCCAGGCGCTCCGTGGAGTCGTCGCGCTACAGCATGCAGCGGAATGGGGATCGACATGGTAGTAGTCATCGCAATAGCTCTCGTGAGCGCCACAGCGACGAGTTCAGAGAGCGCGTCATCAAACAGGAGAAGAATCGTTCCAGGACGCCGCCGCTGCTCACAGCGCGTCAAATCAAGGTGGAGCGCAATGTGACGCCGCCAAGAGAACGTGAAGTCGAGAGGGAGGTGCTGATGCGAAATGGAGTGGAGATTGCCAATGCGCCGCCGCCGACACAACTTAGCAAAAACCATGAGCACAGTCCTGACACGGATGACTACATAGACAACTGGGAGAACGACGACTCCATGGCGGGTGGTGACAGTAATACGCCCAAGACTGCTGCCTTTTCGGCTGTAACTCGGCTTAACGGCGACGACGACGACTCGAATGCACTGTGGAATGCCAATAGCACTCCGCCACCCAAGGCCAAGCTGCCGCAGACGCCACAACAGCTGCCGAGTGGAGTCGGAGCGGCAGTCGGAAGCGACAATGCGCTGATTAACATTAACGAGCTGTACGACAAGTTCATGAAGAGTATTAAAATGGGCTCCAATGCAAACGAAGCACCAGCAGCAGAAGCTGCGAAAGAGCAGGCAACCACATCTAGTTCCTTAAGCAATTCCACTGCCGAAGAATCTTCCAGCGACACAGAAGCGACGTCCAGTAGTAGCAGCAGCAGCAGCAGCAGCGAGAGCAGCTCCGATGACAATAATGATGATGACGATGATGACGACGATGACGACGATGATGATGATGATGATGACGATGATTCTAGCAGTGATGAGAATGACAATTGTGCGGATAAGCAGGAGCTAAAGGAACACCAGCTGATTAGCATGTATGACGGTGAGCAATCACAATCCCAGTCAGCGAGCATGGAGGATTCGGTGGCTGACAAACAGTTACTCAACCACAAGAAGAACAATGTTAGCAAGGATCTGCGCAAGCTCAAAAGTCTTGAGGACAACCTGGCGCGCATACAAATGATGCGCGAGAACTACGATTCGGGTGACGATCTCTGCGAGGAGCTGCTCAAAATGGAGTCGCTGTTCATCACCCAGCGCAATGCTATAATGAACAAATATCGCAAGCCGGAACTCAAGACGAACGGCGAGGAGGAGCAACAACAACTACAACAGCAACAGCAAGTGACGTTGCAGCAACAGCAGACGCAGGAACAGCAGGAGCAGGAGCAGCAGCCACGGCCAGTGTCGCCAGTTAACAACATCTTTGATGCGAATCGTGAGGCCATCAAGCTAACTATTTCACCCTTAAAGCTTTCCCGCAAGCCCGCAATCTTCGACAAGGATGATGCCGATGTTGCGCCACAAGCGGCGGGCGATGGCAAGGTAACCAAGCCACCCAAGGAGATAGCCATTGTAAAGCCCACCATTATGGATATGCGCCCCAAGACCTCAAGGCCGCACTCGCAGACGCCACATCATCCTCAACCACACCACCCACTGAAGCGGTCACGGACGCGGGAACGTTCCCGGTCTCGTTCGATATCACGCAATCGGTTTAGACGCAACATGCATCCCAGTCGCAGCAAGGACTCGACACGTTCGCCCAGTCCGCGTCGTCGACGACCAATGCTTTCGCCGCGTCGCGGACGCTTTGGCAAGTCCCGGCTGGGCATGGGTCGTAGTCGCAGTCGCAGTCGCAGCCTGAGTCGCAGTCGCACGCGCAGCCGCAGTCCGTTGCGTAGGCGACGCGTTAAGGTGCTGCCTGGTCGACGTCGCAGCTCATTATCGCCGCCCTGCAAGATGCTCGGTCCACGCTCTCCACCGCCGCCTTCGAGACGCCGCTCCTACAGTCGGGAGCGCTGCTACTCACGCTCTCCGCTTCCATTCAAACCGCCGTCGCCACCCATGCGACGCAGCTGGTCGCCGTCTCGGTCGCGGTCGCCCTCGCGCAGACGCAGTCGAACGAGATCACGCTCCAGATCCAGATCGCCACATGGTCAGATGCTTGCCGATTACTTTGTGGAGAATCAGAGCATGGAAGCCGCTGCCTACTACTACAATATGTCACTGATGCAGCAGGATGCGAGCGGGGAACAGTACGACAGCTATGCGGCGTACATGGATACCGCCTACAACATGGAGCAGGCCTATGCCCAGTACTCCGAGTACTCGGCAAACACATCAGTTACACCCATGGACTATGACTATGGTGCGGGCAGCCTGATGGAGCCATCAACAATACCCGTGCTGCGCGAACTGCCAATGGCGTCCACTGCACCCGTAGCTGTGCAGAAAGGCAACGTGCTGGAAATCGTGCCGTCTATGGACTCTGCTGCGGAACTGACGACTGTGCCGCCTGTTGTGCCAGAGGAACCGCAGGAGGACAAAAGGTATTCACACAAACAAGTTTCCCAATTTGGCAGCTCACTAAATTTATGTAATTGCAGCAAACCCAAGCGCAAGCGCGTGAACTTTGTGGACAATGTGTTGCCCAACTACGAGAGCGACAGCGAGGATCGCAAAGTTGTGGAAGTGGCAGTGGAACGTGCTGTGGGTCTCTACCGTGAGCGCTGTGCCGCCAAGGCGGCCAAGGTGCAGCGCATCCGCGAACAGCTGCTGGCCATGCCGCCGCCATTGCCGCCCGTTACGCCAAAGCCGGCCCAAGTGGAGAAGCCAGTTCTAGTGAAAAAGAAGCCCAAATTCCGCTACTATCACTTTGATCCCATCAAGGGCGCAATCATAAAGTCACGCGAGCGCATGGTACGGCCGTCGCTGCAGCATCCGCCGCCCCGCTTCAATCCCAAGTACATGGCAATGCTGGTGAAGTCTGGACGTCTGCCCATGCCCGCCTTTATGCGACATCGGCCACCACCGCTGCCCGCGCAAGCGGATGCCATGCTGCAGGAGTTCTTCAGTAAGCATCCGCCGCCACCGCTGCAAAACGTGTTGCCCCACTATTTGCGAGGACCGCCGCCCATGTCAGCCGTTTCAACGCCCCCGCCGCCCATTGCCTCACAGCCGATACCTGTGCTGGGTGCCCAGAGCTATTCGTGCTATCCGCAGACCCCAGCGCCAGCTGTCACCCCAGTATCCTCCGTTGTCACAACGCCAGTGCCCGTTCCAGTGCCTGTGCCTGTGCCAGTACCCGTACCCGTGCCCGTACCCGTTTTGACAAGGTCGCCGCTGCCATCGACGCCGCCGCCGCCGCCAGCATTGGTGCCCCCCTTCTTCACGCCGCCACCCCTGCCCACATTGTCATCACATTTCACAGCACAGCCGGTGCCGAAGATGCGCGAGATAATTCCCGTCGACATATTGCAGAAAATTGGACCGCTGCCCAAGACACTGGACCTGGACGGTTGCAATCCCAGCCTGGACGAGCCGAACAATGATCTCAACGAAGCCGAGACAGCGCCGCCCGTGGAAGCAACTGTCGATGGTCAGCCGCCGCCAAAGCTACTGGAAACCTAACAGCACCCACACATCAAAGAGCATCCCTTAAGTCAGTCTTGAGAAACCGGTTCCCAGCTACACTCGCACCTACTTAGAACCATCCACCACCAGCTGAACACGTCATAATAAAATAGTTATTTAAGTTGTTACCTTGTAGACCTACGCAGCAGACTAGACATATTTTTTTACCAATCCAACGAGCTCCTGGCAATTACATCATCATGTTATATTCTTTTTTCTTTCTCTCTCTCTCTGTCTCTCTTTCTCTCATTCGATTATTAACAATCATTTTACAATCAAGCTTAGTGAGCGAAATGCATTTATTGTTAAACATTTTTTATTAGAACTAATTCAGCATTGTGTCACATTTTACATTTAGTTCATCTGATTTCTACAAGAAAATAAAAAAAAATAAAAAAAAAAAAACCTGTAAATAATGCGAACGACTTGGAGCATATCGAGTCCAACCTAGATCTAAGCAACATTACATAATGTATTTAACGAAAACTTTATACAAAAATTATACAATTAAACGCAAATACATTGGGAGAGACATAAGTCAATGTATGTAGACTATATAAAAATGTCTTTCTATTGATAGTTCTGGATTTATTTTTGTAATTTATTGGCTGACTACATATGTATAATCTATGGGTAATCTAATATTTACACTTGTCTAGAAACTTCCTTCCCACATTCTCATTCTCTTTGCTCTCTAGATCAGTTCTGAGTCTTTAGTGATAATCTGTATATGTTATCTGTTGACATCCGACCAAATTCTAAGCCCTTCACTAAGTCCTAGCACACATACATAGGAACTCTTGTTAGAGTCTTATTCTATATTCTGCTGATCACAATAAATGCTTTATTCAAGTTACTTATTTAGCTTGTCCTGGGCAAAGGGACCAATGTTGGCCGCGTAGGCCATCAGGGCTGGGATCGTGGTCTGTTCGTAGTTGCCGGAGAAGAAGTGCTCGTGGGGACCCGAGGCAAAGACGGCCACATCCTCGCCGCCATGGGTCTCAGACTTAAGGGGCACTGTAGCCTGGAACTGGAAGTCGGCATCTTCGGTGTCTGCATTCGACAAGTCCATGCGGCCATGGTCATCGTATGTGTTGACATAGCCGGGTCCATTGGCATAGGACAGAATGGTGAATGGCTTCTCATCGTCCGCCAAATTGGGAGCCAGCGAGAGGATGTTTTGGCGACGATACTGCAATGATATGAGAGCAATTAAAAGAGAACGGAATGGAATGGAATGAGTCTGGGTCACCCACCGGATAACCGTTGATGGTCATTGTGTGCGAGTGGTCGGAGGTGACAACGATGAGCGTGTCCTCATCCGAGGTGAGGTCCCGGGCCAGCTCCACAGCGCGTGCGAACTCTTCAGTTTCCTCGAGAGCTTTGCGTGCCTTCGTGTCATGGTGAGCCATGTCGATGCGGCCGCCCTCTACGAACAGGAAGTATCCCTCCTCGTTGCGGCTGAGCAGCTTGATGGCCGCCTCGGTCATCTCGCTGAGGGAGGGCGCCACGTCTGTGCGCTCGGTGTGGTAGGGACAGTGGCTGACATCGAAGAGACCCAGCAGATAGTCCGTCCTGGAGAGGTCCACATCGTGGAGTCCATTCCGCGACCAAACATATTTGGCCTCTGCGCCTTGATTTGCCTTATCCTGCAGCCAGTCCTTGATTAAGTCACGTCCGTCCTTGCGTTTGCCCGCGAAGCCCTCCTCATCCTTCATGCTCTTGTCGCGGAAGTAGGCCCGGCCACCGCCCAGCACCACACGCAAGTCCCGACCCACTGGCCACTCCACCAGCTGGCGTGCAATGTCCACATTGTCGTCCGCACTGCAGCCAGCCGAGGTGACCTTGCCATCGTGCTCCCAGTTACGGTCGGCCACATGAGCGTAGGTGCCGGCCGGCGAAGCGTGAGTGACACGAGCCGTTGTCACCACGCCCGCCCACTTGCCCGCCTCCTGCGCCCACTGTGCAATGCTCTCGGTGTGCGTGGCCTTATCCGTAGCCGCCTTGCAACTGCCCCGCTTCACTTGGGCATTGACCCCAATGGTGCCGTAGTTGGCCTTCACCCCGGTCAAGTACGCCGTCGCAGTGCTGGCCGAGTCCGGAGTGCGCTCGTCCACTGCATAGGTTTTCGAGAGACCCACATAGGGGAACTTCTCGAAGTAGACCTGCTTATTGCTATCGCCCATGAACGCACGGGTGGCCGCAATCGTGTGCACGGACATGCCGTCGCCCAAGAACAAGATAATGTTCTTCGCACGATTCTCGTTGAGTTGTTTATGGACCGATAGCTTATCGGCCAGAATGCTCTGCGCCTTGTTGACCCAAAAGCGTGAATTACGCTCCTCGTCCAACTCAACATAGTCACGCGAGGCGGCCATGCGTGGATGTTGCTCTAGACGGGTTAAAAATATAAAAATTAAGTAAAAACAGGTATCAGCAATACGTCTTATCAGGGCTAATTTAAAATTAATAATATGATTGGTGCTTTTCATGATTTACAGCTAACTGCATGAAATTCTAATTGATTAAAAATCGCCTACTCACCATTCTCCTGCTCATCGGACAGATCTGCTCTGGCTGGACACGTCACCAGAGCGAGAGCCAACAGGCAACCCGCTAAGTAAAAGCTAGCCAAGCCTTTAACCATTCTGCTGTACTTAGGTCGCGTTACGGTCAACGTTTGGCGTTAGACTGTTGAGCCAGTGTGAGGCAGAGTTGGTTATATAGCCTACGAGTGGCTCCCTGTCAATATAATAGTGTGAGCAGTATATATGATTTGTTATTTTGATTTTCCTCAATCTAAAGTATTGATCGCACAGCTTCGAGTACCGTTTTGACACCTGCAATAAAGCTGCCCATAAATAAATCAAATGCCCGAGCCCCTCGTATCATCACTTCACAATAGTAGTCTCGGCTAACCGTGGTTATAAAGCACCCGCTCAGCCCGTTTAGCGTACAGTATCTGCTGAGAACCCGAACGAAATGCGGACAATTCAGTTCCTCGCGAGTCTTTGGCTGTTGCTGCACTTGGCGGCCTGTGTCTTGGGTGGCGCTGTGCCCGTCCAGCCAGTGGACGACGATGATGAGGAGGCAATGCATCCCCATCTGCAGGCAAATCCACGGACGAGTGAGCGTAGCAGCAACGCCGAGAACACACAGGACTATTGGCTCTCAGCGAGCAAGGAGCACATTCTGGAGAAGCTCAACTTCGTGCGGAACACAAAGCGTGCAAAGAACATCATTCTCTTCCTGGGCGACGGCATGGGTCTGGCAACTCTGGCGGCTGCCAGGAGCTACTTGGGTGGCGAGGAGAAGAAGCTCTACTTCGAGAAGTTTCCCTTCACTGGCCTCTCCAAAACCTACTGTGTGGACAAAATTGTGCCCGACTCGGCATCGACCTCCACATCCTATCTGTGCGGCGTGAAGGCCAACTACGGCACGATTGGAGTCAGCGCGAACGTGAAACGTGGTGACTGCCAGGCCATGGCCGACAAATCCAATCATGTTTTCTCCGTGGGCAAATGGGCAATGGACGCGGGCAAAGCCGCCGGCCTGGTGACCACAACCCGTGTGACCCACGCCTCGCCCTCGGGCGTCTATGCGCACACTGCCGATCGGGAGTGGGAGAACAATGCCGTGCTGGAGGAGGCGTGTGGCGACCTGGCTAAGGATCTCGACGACATTGCAGTGCAGCTAATTCACGGCGAGGTCGGCAGCAAACTGAAGGTGATGCTTGGCGGCGGCAGACGTAACTTCATGGATCTCGAGTTCTACAAGAATGGCCGACGCACGGACGGACGCAATCTGGTCGAAGAATTCGAAGCCATGTCTGACCGCAACGTCTATGTGAAGAATCGCAAGAAGCTGCTCAAGGTGGATCCCGCGACAACGGACCGCCTGTTGGGTCTGTTCGCCAAGAGCCACCTGCACTACCATGAGGAGCAGCTGGCCGATCCAGAGAACACGGAGCCCACGCTGGAGGAGATGACCCAGAAGGCCATTGAGGTGCTCCAGACCGAGGAGAACGGCTACTTCCTGTTCGTGGAGGGTGGCAAAATCGATATCAGCCATCACGATACGATGGCCCGCATCGCCCTGGACGAGACCGCCGAACTGTCGAAGGCCGTGAAGCTGGCGCGCAAAATGACCAGCGAGGAGGACACTCTGATCGTGGTCACCTCCGATCACTCGCACACCTTCAGCCTGGGTGGCTACCAGCCGCGCGGCAGCGACATCTTCGGCAAGGCCGAGTCCTCCGGCACCGACGACAAGCCCTATCTGGCCCTGAGCTATGCCAATGGCAAGAGCTTCGAGACCTACTACGATGTGATGGCGCACCAGCGCGTCGATCCCACGTCCTTGCTGGCGGACAACGCTGATGTGGCCCAGCTGTTCCCAGCCACCGCACCACTGGAGTCCGAGACGCACGGCGGCGAGGATGTTGGCGTCTTTGCCTCAGGTCCCTGGGCCCACATCTTCACCGGCGTCTACGAGCAGAACGCCATTCCACATATGCTGGCCTTTGCCGCATGCGTGGGCGATGGCCAGACAGCCTGTGATTGATTGACAGCTTCAATTGAGCATTGATTCTAATTAAATGTCGCAGTCCTTGGCGGCGATAGCAAACGATTCTCAAGCATGCCTTATCACTAAGTAGGAAATATTGAGATTATTATGGGTAAATTTCCGGACGTCATCAAATGGGTTATGGAAATCTGATTCTTTTTTGTTTGGGCTTGACATATCTGCAAAATAAATTGAGTTGTTGATATACATATGTACCTACGTATTAATTCCACTCGCACTTACTATCTCCAAATCAAGAACTCTACTTATAGGCCATGACGCAGCAAATAGTCGAAAAGCTGATTATATGATGTGCTGAAGCTAATGCACTTTAAGGTTTTTCGTTAGAAATGATTTGTCAATTATATTTTAATGAGATTTGAATAAATACTTGGAATTGTGTTTAATATATCTAACATGGATTATAATGGAATTATTTATGCAGGTAATTATAGATTCTCAGGATGACTGACTTCATCGATTTTAACGTGAATCAAGTCTAATCGAGCTAGAAGACTTTGCTACCTTCTTTTGAGGTCACTGTAAGGCTTTTGTTTCTTGTCAAGATCAAGATATTGAATCTATTCAATATGTCAGAAATGGCCTATGAGAAATTGCATGATTAGGTTATCTGAAAGCACTACATGAAATACAATTATTTCGTTACCTTCTATAAATCAAAAATTCTATCACGTGAATATGCGCATGCTTTGAGCTGAACACGCTTTGGTTATAAATATATTGGATCCTATAAATATATTCCAGAGACAGTTTTATGATATTCACGTGTAGATCTCTGATGACTACATTTTGTGCCATTAACTGTGACACGACACTAAATAATATTTCCAAGACTCCGACTGCGGAATTTTTGAACAAACAACTTTTCCAATCCAAATCTAATCACCTGCAGTAAACTATACGGATTAGTTGAATAAATCAATTAAAGCCTTGGAATATATATTGGCTTTCTTTTGTTCTTCAAAACTGTAAAGCTAATGTTTTTTCTCAACAATTATCAGTGCTTGTTTTATTTATTATAATGAAGGTCTTTAGGCATAAGTCATATAGTCTAGACAATTACGGCATAGTGCTGATCACTCGACTTCGGCTGTATCAGGGAGGAGTACTTGTCCCTCAGATCGACCAAGGCACGCTGAAAGCTCTCCATGCTGCTCTCCAGCTGGTTGGTGGAGCTTGGCTCACTTTTGGCTGCGCTAGCTACGGGTGTCTCGCCCAGAAGGACCCGACGCCAGTCAGCGGCTTCGGAGCTGGCTCGTATCGCTTCCTTGCGCTCCGCATTCTTACTTGCTGCAGCTGCAAACATTGCCTCATCGAATCCTCCTGTCTCGGGGTGCTCATCGGGAGTGGGTGGTGTGATCACTGATATTGGGTCGGCTGTGGCTATTGCACCTTGCTGCGCCAGTTGATCTTGGAAATCGGCAGGGAGAATCTCGCTCAGCTCGGTCCTGGAGTTCTCTATCCGCACCAATTGGCCCTCGGGTGTGATCCGGAACAGCTGGGCACTACCATTCTGAACTGATGGTATGATAATGAGATTACCGATGGCTGTGGAGATGCCCTGCCCGTATGCGTTGGGTCCCATTTCGAATCCGGGACCGAATCCGGATCCACCGCCATATCCAAATCCAGGACCTAATGGTGGTCCACCGCCAGCTCCAAATCCTGGACCCAATGGTGGTCCACCGCCAGCTCCGAATCCTGGACCTAATGGTGGTCCACCGCCAGGACCTAATGGAGGTCCATACGGACTATATGGACAGGGGAAGCAGTAGCCCGGTGGTCCCGGTGGTCCAGGGAGGCCCCTAGGACCCATGACGGGTGTAACTGGACCGGCCATAGGACCACCATAGGGCCCTGGCACAGGAGGAGGATATCCCCATATGCCAGAGGAAGGTCTACTAACACCTGGAGGACCCTTAGGACCCGGCGGACCAGGCGGTCCCCGAGGGCCAGGTGGACAGCTGCAATTCAGTAACGAGGCGCCGATCGTGGCGCAAAAGCCTTATAGATAATTCAATATATTAATTCAGATAATCCACCTCATCCAGCTATCCTTTGAAACTTACCCAACACCAAGAGACTTATGAGGCTATGCGACTCCATGCTGTCTCAATGTGATCAATGTCAACAGCATCCGCTGACTGATTTGAGACAAGAACTAGACCTCCCTATTTATATCAAGAGCTGAGCTGAGGAGGACTAAGAAAATTTTAGAACTAGTTTTAATGATATTCGATGAAATTTTAACTCTCTTTTTTATGTACATATATAAATGAGTCGAGCATATTATCCAGGTGGGCTGCTGGCTGCAGGCCCATAACTGTTCTCGCATCAGATAAACCTTAAACATACTTAAAAGAAATGGAGAGCAGTTGGGAAGAGACAGTGTGGCATACAGAGAGAGACAGATAGATATATATGTAGAGATAGATGAATATGTATATGCTGAGGGTTGGGCCAGTGACATTTATTGTTTTTTATGTTGGAAAACATAAGTGTGCCACATGCTGGCTGCCTCAAATTGTTTCAACTTTATACGCAGATGTGGCATGCCACTCATTTCGTGTCAATCAGCACATAAAGTTTGGTTGCCGTCTCCAAGTTTATTGCAGCTGAAACAGGTAAAGAAAATGGGCCTTAGAACCAGGTGGGTTTTTAACGATTTCATTGATTATGAATGAAGTTTGATTGAACCAGAATTGATACTCTTCCACACTAGAGGAAAAACAAGTAGAATAAAAGGTTTTACTATCAAAAGTCTGAGGAATTTTCGAGGGCCGTTATTTACACGCACTCACACACACACGTCGAATATTCTAATGGCAAATGGAACATGAAAAACCCAAACGCACTTTTCATTAGCATAAATTAAGGCGAACGGCACATATCACATCGTCGTGCATATAAATGTTCTACTAAATATACATACATATATGTATGCACATACATATCGGTGCCTTCTTATCAATTACAGGTAGAGCGTATGCGAACATAGTTTATCTCGAGCGTGGAAGCACTTTCGTATACATAGACCTCTTTCAGCACGAGGAGGCACGGCGCTGGGCTCGAGTGCAATTTACAGATTGTCAGCCAAGGGCAAGGGGTAGGGGCAGAGTGCGGAAGCAGCTATCGACTTGAATTGGCTGCGAGAGCGTAGTCTTCTTATCAATCCATTAGACTTTCCATGTTCGTCGAGCTCTTCACTTAGACATTGCTTTAATTGCCCGATAAAGCTTTGACATCCTCTAAATAATGAAAAGAAAATGATAATCTTGTGATAATGGGACTTCGATTGGAAATCTCAAGTAGGCTCGATTGATAGCCATCTGTGTTTAATTACATTGGATTCATAGACTTTGGTTTTATATGTTGATTTATTAATTTAATATTATCGACTATTGCTAATCAGCACATTACTGCAATGTATATATAAACTTAATTGGCGCAAATAATTTGAAGTCACATTTGCAATTGCATAGATTTGATAAGTTTCTAGGCATATACATATGAATGCATATATCTATATATGATATTACAATACAATATGCTGCACACACACACACTCACGCACGCACGCATCAACACATACACCTGCATAGATATATGCATAGTATATGTGCCACATATTTACATGTACATAGATAAATTGAGGGGCGACAATTCGGCTTGGTTTGGTATCGTTGGCGTTGCATTCTTTGATTTTGTTTACTTCGTTCATATTTAATCGACACCAATATGAGAAACTCGTAAGAACATTGACAAATATAAAGAGCAAAATGAATATATATGTATATATATGCATATAAACACAAAAGGCAGGGGTCAACTAAAGGACTACTCAATAAATACAGTTGTAAATGGTTAGGATTGAAATCGACAGCCGCACAATTTTAGTCTATTTTCACATTGGAATAGATTTTACGCACAAAGAAATTCGTGCCGACATAGCCGACGGTGCCACAAATGATGCCCAAAGCGCCACTGAAGAGTGCCATATAGCCAAAGTAGAACGCCGTCTGGAACAATCCAAACATTCTGTAAAAGAGAACAAATGAATATTTATAATAGATGTTCACAATAACAGTTTAAATCTATAATACTCACTTGGTCTTAAAGAAGAAGTAATAAAATGAATATGCGTATACGTAAATCGACGTGGAGCCAGCGGCCATAAAGCTCGTCCACTGCCACCGATAATCCTCGGCATTCAGCAGAAAATAGGTGCACACAATGGTAACACAGACGGTGACCACGGTCAGAATGGTAAAGACGAGCAACATGAAGCCATAGACATAATAGATTTTGTACGCCCAGAATGAGGTGAAGATGAAGTACCTAAGGATTCAAAAGAGAACAGACTAAGCTATCAGAGTTCCCAACAATAAATGACTTTGTTAAACCATACATTTCAATGAAAATGGAACCAAATGGTAACACGCCGCCCAGCAGCACAATAATAAATGGTTCCATATACCATTTCTTCTCTGGTATGGGCCTGGGAACAGCATTGACGCGACATGGGAAATCTGGCTGGCCATCCAAATTGCGGCCCACCACTGTGCCCACGAGAGTCAGTGGCAAGATGACGAACAGGCAAATGCAGGTGACTGCCACCATTGTGCCAAAGGGTATGGCCCGCGATGCATGATAGCCGATCGCAATAAAGTTGATGAAGAACGCAGTGCCACATACAGCGACGGGCACCGTGAAAGCCGAGGCGAGCATCTGACGTATCCACAAACGACCGCCCAGCCGAGCGTAAAGCGAGCCACCAAAATAGCCATTAATGGGTGACGTTGCCGCATAAACAAAAATAGCAGTTGAGAGCATCGAGCCACGTCTACAAAACAATTATTATAAAGACTGCGGTGAATATGTGTTTTGGCTGTTCACTTACTCCGTATACAGTTCACCAACAATGGCAAACATTATCACACAAAAGACAACCGAGATCAGCTGATAGCCGGCACCAACGAGGGCCGAGAAAAGCAGAGCATGAGGTGGCGACCGGAAGACATCGCCATGCACCTGTTTCCAGCCATACTCATCGCCCAAGTCACGTTCCATATCATCCACCTCCTCATCCTTGCTGTACCGTGCATAATCCTTTCGCAGTGTGCGCATCAATATCATGGAAACCAAGCCCACCAAGAATATAACCATCATGAAGCTATTGAAGATGCTAAACCAATGTATCTATGCACAAATAAAATATAAAATTAATAACTTAATAAGCGGCGTAGCTATATTAATTACCCTGTGCTGGAAAAAGTTTGGATCCAGATACTTGTCGAAGCGATTTTTGAACTCAATTTTGCTGGGCTTCCAATTGACCTCATAGGAGAACTTGATTTTAGCATCTGTCTTCAGTTCTTCCCGCATTTCCGTTGTCAGCGTGATGTCCACGATTTGCTGGCCATTGTAGCCAATATCGAATTTCTTGTGCGTGTGTATATAATATTTGCCATCGTTTTCATCACGTTCGCCCACCTTTCCCCATATGGGCAAGCCATCGATATACATCTGATACCAGTATTCATTCATTACGGCATATTTAAATGCTTTGACATTCTCTTCGGTTAGTTTAACCATACAAATGACCGTACGCGGAACATCTGTTTTGAACTCCATTTCGTAGCCGCTAAACTCCAGCTCAACTCCCTGTAGAGCCTCGCTTAGAGTTTCATGGTAATGAGATATACTCGACTTGGCACCACTGCAGAAGGGCAGCGAGAAATACGCATACGTCTCCTGGCGATTGTGATAGGGGCCGACCGTGTTCATCCATAGTACAACTTCTTCTCTGTCATTATACTGCAAGAGTGCGTTGCATTATATATATACAAAAGTATAAGTACATATACTACAGATGCATGCAGTCACAGACACAAATACAAATACAAGCATACCTTATGATTGTGCTCGTCGGCCGACACCGACACGTAGCAGATACTGGAGAGCAGACATAAACAAATTAGAAAGACCGGTGACGTGCCCATGACTGAACTTAATTTTGTGGTCGTTCTAATGCTGGGTCTGCTGCTGGCCAGTCGACGTTCCTTTCCAGGGTATATTTTGTTAAACAAAAACGGAAGAATTAAAATGAAATATTTGTGATAGCTTCGATTGAGTAGTGTTGGTAAATCTTTCGGATTCTGAATGTGAATCGATAGGCCGATAATCTTGAAGTTATTGGAATTATTCAAATTGTTTGACCGGATTTGGACATGTCAGCATATTAATTTGTACATCATAAAGAAAATGAATAATTTATAAAATTATTCTAAATTACATTTTATTTTAAATATTAAATTAACTAACAATTAAGATAAACATATTTGAAAATATCGATTTATTTTGATGCTGAACTGGTCTTATTGAACTAAATTGTGAACCAGAATTTAACAGAAAACTCCACGACTTAGTGATATGCGGTCACATTGCTCGGGTTAATAAATACAAACGCCTTTTTAATTAATTTATTCAACTTGTTTAACTGAATTTAATATTATTACATTAAATCAGTTCAGTAATGAGTAATATTGAGCTGGGTATTGAATTGTTTTCCCCAGAGACTCTCCTAAAGACGGACACAGATACAGACAACGTAGATGACACGATGGCCAGTTCCAGCAACAAAGGGCTGACCGCCAAAGAGGATGAGCTCATATCCATGGAAACGCTCAGAGAATCACCAGTGCAGTGGCCTGCGCGTTTTCCAGGCATGGATGAATTTATGACCATGAGCCAAACACCAATACACACTCCAAGCTCTGAATACACACAAAGCTTGACCAGTGCAGACAGGGCGAGGATCACTCGTAAGTTGAGCTGGAGACTCTTAGCGTTCGATCACCTATTTTATCTCTTTTTACCTTACAGAGCTGGCTAGTCTAACACCCGATCAGTTGATAGAGAAGATTAAGTCAATGCATGATGAGATCTATCAACTGGGCCTGCGCGAATCCAAGGAAATGACACGAGGCAAACTGTTGGGAATCTTTGATCGAATGGCCAAAGTGAAGAAATAATAAGACGTTAATTTTTGTTGCCTGTATTATATAAAGTTAATTTTACTTCGAATTGCATAAACATGTGCTTATATGTAGCCTAAATTTAATGCATATTAATATTTTTGTAATAAAAAGAGCAATTGTTAAATC